GATCACCCTTCGGGTAGGAAGGGTGACTTCCGTAGGAGCTTTGGCTTCAAAACCGTAGCAGAGGGAGAAGGGTGTTTCACCCGTAGCTCGCCGAGGGGTGGTGCGGTAGGCCCAAAGGATGTTGTGGAGTTCTTCCACCCAGCCACCGCCCTCGGCCTCTAGCTTCTTTTTGAGGCCCTCGAGCAAGGTCCGGTTAGCATTCTCTACTTGCCCGTTGCCTTGAGGGTAGGCAACGGAGGAGAAGGTGTGTTTGATGCCTCATGCCTCCAGAAGGGCACAGAAGGGGGCTGCCTCAAATTGTGTCCCATTGTCGGAGATGATCTGCTGGGGGACGCCAAACCTTGTGAGGATGTTCTTGAGGACGAAGTGACGGCACTTTGCCTCTGTGATGCTGGCGAGGGGTTCAGCCTCCACCCACTTGGTAAAATAGTCGACGGCCACAATGATGTATCTGTTGTTGGAGGTACCCCTCGGCAGAGGGCCCACAAGGTCTATCCCCCATCGGGAAAACGGGACAGAGGTGCTGATGGGGGCATAGTTGACCGCTGGTCTGCCGGGAGCTTTCTGGAAATGTTGGCATGCGGTGCACCTTCGGGCAAGGTCAGCACAGTCCCTGGCCATGGTTGGCCAGAAGTAGCACTGGAGAATGAGCCTTCGGGACATGGAGAAGGGTCCCTAGTGAGCTGAGCAAGTGCCACTGTGCACTTCCTCCATTGCGACTTCGGCTTCATCTGGATGAAGGCACCGAAGTAGCGTGCCATTGTAAGATCGTTTGTAGAGCCTCCCATCTTCGATGGTGTAGCTGGGAGCCCTCAGTTTTGCCAGTTTAGCGCGGGCCTTATCCTCGGGTAGCTGCCCTGTGGAGATGAAGGCGGTGATATCTGAGATCCAATCCTCCTGTCGTTGTTGTATGTTCATAACGGGGCTCGCATGGATGCTTGAGAGGCTGAGTTCCTCGATTTTGGCAATTTTGGAGATGTGCTCGGGGGAGTCAGCCGAGAGCTTAGACAATATGTCGGCCTCGGAGTTCTGAGCCCTCGGTATTTGAGTAAGAGAGTGTGCCTCAAATACCTTAAGCAACTCCTTGGCCGCTTCCTTGTACTGTTTCATTCTTCCCTCCTTGGCCTCATATTCTTCGGAGATTTGGCCAACGACCAACTTGGAGTCGCATTTGATGTGGATCTGCTGAGCCCTCATGTTGGCAGCCAGCCGAAGGCCACATAGGAGGGCCTCATATTCGGCCTCATTGTTGGAGACTTTGAAGGAGAAGCGGATTGCATAGTAGGCCCTGAAGCCCTCGGGAGTAATGAGGACTACCCCTCCCCCGCATGCTTTGGTCGCGGAGGAGCCATCAGTGTAGAGGGTCCACCAGTCGTCCGAGGTAGCCGAGGGCTCCCTGTCCGTGGCTGCCCTTGCGGTACATTCCGTCACAAAGTCCGCTAGGGCTTGGCCCTTGATGGCAGGCCTTGGACGGATGTCAATGTTGTACTGGCTCAAGAAGATAGCCCATTTAACCATGCAGGAGGAGCTGGTGGGGCTCCTCATGAGGGCGCCGAGGGGTTGATGAGTGAGGACCTGAACTGGGTGAGCCTGAAAGTAGTGGCCCAACTTCTTGATAGTCCAAACGATGGCCAACACCGTTTTCTCCACAGGGGAGTACCTGAGCTCGGCCTCCCTTAGGGTCTTGGTAACGTAGAAGATGGCATGTTGGATGCCGTCTTCCTCCCGGATGAGCACAGAGCTGATGGCCGCCGGGCTGACCCCAAGGTAGAGGTAGAGGGTCTCCCCTACCTTGGGTTTGGAGAGCACAGGAGGTGAAGATAGATATCTTTTGAGCTCGTCGAAAGCCCCCTGGCATTCCGGAGTCCATAGAAAGCCAGCCGTCTTCCTCATGATCTGGAAGAAGGGTAGAGATTTCTCCACCGATTTAGATAGAAAACGGTTGAGGGCTGCCAGGCGGCCCGTCAACCGTTGGACTTCCTTCACATTGCGTGGGGGCTCCATATTGATGATGGCCTGGATCTTCTCGGGGTTGGCCTCAATACCCCTCCGGCTCACCATGTAGCCTAAGAATTTGCCCCCTTGGACGCCGAAGGTGCACTTCTTCGGGTTTAGCCGAAGGTTGAATTTTTGCATGATGGCGAAGATTTCCCGGAGGTCGTCAGCATGGCTAGAAGATTGCTTGCTCTTGACGATCATGTCGTCGACATAGGCCTCCATGGTGCGCCCTAGGACGGCTTGAAAGACTCGGGCCACCATCCGGGTGTAAGTGGCCCCCGAGTTCTTTAGGCCGAAGGCCATCACTAGGTAGCAGAAGATGCCCTCGGGAGTCATGAAGGCAGTTTTTTCGGCGTCCTCCTCGTGCATGAATATTTGATGGTACCCTCGGAAGGCATCGAGGAAGGACATGATTTCACACCCCGCGGTCTCATCCACCAATTGATCAATGTTTGGTAGAGGGAATGGATCCATGGGGCATGCTTTGTTGAGATCGGTGTAGTCCACGCACATGCGGAAGGTAGGGGGCTTCTGGGCGAGGACTACATTTGCTAGCCATGAGGGGTATTTCACCTCCTTGATGTGCTTGATTGAGAGGAGCATGGCGACCTCCTTCTTCACGAATTCCCTCCTCTCGGCGGAGAGGGGTCTCCTTCGCTGCTGTACTGCTTTTGCCGAAGGGTCCACCGAGAGGCGGTGGGTGATGACCCTTCGGCTGATTCCCGGCATGTCCTCCGGCCCCCATGCAAAGACAGTGGAGTAGGCGCGGAGGGCGTCGGTGATACCGGTCTTCAAATCTTCAGGGAGCTGGGCTCCAATCTTCACGACTCTCTCCGGCTGGGCCGGATCGAGCGCAAAGTCTTCTACGTCCTCGGCCGGTTCAGCCCTCGGCCTTCTTTCCTCTTGGTCGACGGCTCCGGTGATGGTGTCAACACGGAATTCCGTCTTGCTTACCTTCTTAGTGACCTGGAGATAGCAGGCGCGGGCAATTTTTTGATTCCCCCGGGAGTAGCCAATGCCCCCCTCGGCGGGAAACTTGAGGCAGAGATGCTTCATGGAGATGATGGCTTCGAGGTCCTCGAGGGCTGGCCGGCCGAGGATGATGTTGTGGGCGCAATCAATGTTGACGACGACGAACTCCACCTCGAGTTGGGCTCTATGGAGCCCGTCACCGAAGATCACCGGGAGGGTTATTACCCCCTCGGAATCAATAGTGTCGCCGGTGAAGCCGGCAAGAGGGGTTTTGATGGGCCGAAGGGACCCCCTCTCCAGATGCAGCTCTCTGATGGTACTGAGGTACATTACATTGACGGAGCTGCCCGTGTCAACGTAAGTTCGGTGAATGATGGTGTCGTTGATCTCTGTCCGAATCACCAAGGCATCCCTGTGAGGAGAAGAAGTAGGAGGGAGATCTGCGTTGGTGAAGGTGATGGGTTCCTCCCTCAATCGCTTTACCGGGGGCATATGAGTGACTTCCCCTACGTAAAGCGATTGAGCCCACTTCTTCCGCTGGCTGGTGGAATCGCCCCCTGTATTGCCACCGGTGATCATGAGGATGTGGTGTTTCTTCTCCTGGTAGTGGGGGTACTCCTCCTCCTCTCCTTCCAAGTTTCCGATCTCCCTCTTCTTGCCGAGGGGGATGGTGTTCGGATTCACCCAGGCATTTACCTTCGTATGGTGCCCTCGGGGAGGTCCCTGATGAGAAGGTCCCTCCTGCCGAGGGCTCTGGACAAACTGGGACAGGTGCCCTGCCTGTATGAATCTCTCGATGGCCGTCTTCAGTTGATGGCAGTCATCGGTCCTGTGCCCCTGGTGTCGATGGAAGCGACAGTAGGGGAACTGAGGGTTGATAGCGTGTACCTCCGGGGGTGCGCGAGAATCGCGCTCAACGAGGCCCCTCTCCTCTGCAAAATCGAGGATGATGCTGACGGGGTGCGTCAATGGGGTCCGAGGGCGGTCCAGGAGAATGGGCTGGGCCCAAGTCTTAGGGTTGCTCCTATAACCTCCCCCGGGCTTGGCTTGGCCTTGCCGAGGGCGGTCATCAGAGGGTCCCGAAGCCTTGGGGCGATTTGGAGGAGCCCCCGGCCCTCGGTTGTGCTTGTTATCAGCCCTCGGGGGCTGCTGGTCCGGATGCTGGTGATACTTCTCCACCTCCTCGGCCTCAGCATATCGATCCCCCCGCTGCAAGGCCCTTATGTAGTCGCGGGGGGGGGGGGGGGGGGGGGGGTTCAATGATGAGGCTCCTTGAAAAGTTGCCGGTGCGGAGGACGGCTTGTAGGCTCCTTGAAAACGAGAGCACCAAATGATGGATAGTCTACCCGGGGGTATATATCCGAAGGGTTATTACGGGGAATAACTTAGAGAGAAGTCAGAGCAAACAAGTAAGAGAGAGAGTGTATATTCGATATGTATTAAGCGTGTCTACAAATGGGGAAATGGGGTGCTATTTATAGTAGCAATAAATGCCAGGCAGGGACACGTGTCAAGCGCCCATTGGCCGAGGGGTCACCTCAACTGGTTGGCGCTGGCAGCCGCATGTGGCCGCATTTAATGCGGCTGTTGGATGGGACGTCTGTGCGGGGTACGGTGATCTGTACGCATGTGAGGCGGATATCTTGTCGAGTGAGATGCCTTCGGCTATAAAGCAGTAGGCGAGGGCTCTTCCACCCGATGGCACCCCCTGGTGCCGAGGGCTCATAGTGCCGAGGACTACTGTTTTCGCCGTTTTCTCCCAGTTTCTTAGTTTGCTTGAGAAACCCGCTCTTTGAGAATTTGGAGCCTTCGGCCAGGGGGCCGAAGGCACCCCTGTGCGTTGTGCGGACTGCTTGGTACTCCGGGCGCTGTGATTTGGGCATGTTGGGCCTTCGCTGGAGTAGTAGGAGTCTGTGGGCCGGGAGTTCCCGGGCCATATACTCCATCATGGATCATGAATATAAATATAGATATGATCAAGCGATAGAATTTAGTTACAATAAAATGTTCAAAATCGATTTGATGACAGCCTGTAGAGGAGAGTCATGGGATGATGGAGGTTGCGGTCAGGTTGCTGCAATCCTCATTTCCTATTCTACTTCTTCCATCAACTCTCTGCGTTTCCTTTATTTCAAGGACGGCTCTTTCAAGTTTTCTGAAGATCATGGTAAACCTCATGGCAGCTCAAGGATGATCAGACTAGACTGCCCAACAGAGTTCCTCACTGAGGTCCATGGCTTGCGGAGCTTCCTTTCTGGGCCAGGTAATATAGTGTCGTCGATAACATTTGTGACTAACAAATCCACATATGGACCCTTCGGGAAAACCAAACCGTCGTCCGATGACAGCGACTTCGAATTCCGATTGGGCAGTGGCGGTGATGATTCCATTAATGGCTTTCACGGAACTATTAACAGTTATTATGGTCACGTCGCCAGCATTGGTATTTATTTACAGATCTCAACTCCTGCTCCCCGCCCCAATGTCAAGCTGCTTCATTTCTAAAATTATCGTTCACATGTGCGTGCGAGGCTATTACGATGTTATTATTCGATGGATGTAATGAAAACAAAATGATTTCATGCTTCGTTTCATCATTTATTCGTATTATTACTGTCTTATTATTGCCAAAGAAATTATTGAAATATTAAACTTATTCTTCTTTATCACTATCTTTTTTACCGAACCATAATGAGAAACATCATTCTCCTGTAGTATCATTCATTACTTTTATAAGTCACCAATTACTCACTTTTTCTGCTCAAGATTTACCAAATTGACCTTTCTTGATCAATGACAATCAAATTTGATGATGATATTTTTTAATTCCAATTTATTTTGAATATTAAAAATTATGTTAAAATGTTCCTTATTTAATATATTTTCATAAAAGTATAAAATTTTAAATTATATACAAATTTAATAATTAAAATTATTGTCCAAAGTTTGTCATTATTGACCAAGAAAAATCAATATAGCGAACTTTTTCGGAACGGAGGTAGTATGAAATTAGTGTATCCAACTAATAATGTACTAAAGGGCCGTTGAGTTAGGCTCAGTTGGGAACTTGGACTTGAGCTTAATAGGTTGTGCCAGAAGTAGTTTGATGAGCCGGACCAATGGTTTGGGCTAAGTTTCAAATAGTGGGACGGCCTGACATGTGGCCCTTATGGATCGGATCGGGCTTTTGAAGTATTTAAAACATGTTCACACAATAGTCATGACCGGCTAGTTTCTGACTTTCGGCATTGAATATTAATCTGTTTTATAGAAAAAATTACTCCCTCCGTCCCATATTTAACTCCGGTTTTGACCGGGCACGAGTTTTAAGATAGTGAGATTTGTATGGTGGAGAGTTATGCAGAAGAGAGAGAAATGTGTAAGAATGGTTGTGAACCACATATTCTTTACCAAAAAGAGAAAAATGAGATAAATTTGGGACGGACCGAAAAGGAAAGAATGAAGATAATTCCGGGACGGAGGAAGTAGTTTACAAGATCCTGGAGGGACCGATCCAACTGAGCGGTGAGATAGAAGTTGTTGCTACTATTCATTCATATTCCCTATACATATTCTTATTGTTGTCACTGTTTGTATTAAAATGTTAGAGATAGATGAGTTATTATTTTTATTATTATTATGGTTATAATTATTACTATTTGTATGTTATTATTATTATACAAATAATAATTTATTTGTATAAATGTTATTAATATTTGAAGGATAGATTTACTCATTTAGCTTAACTGAAAAGTTTTGTGTTTCAATCCACAAAGCTCTAGTAGAAAGTAAAAACACTTTACTTATTTGAACTAAGTGTTCTGTGAGTAGTTCTACATTATTGTGTTTGTGTATAATTTAGAATTTTTTCTATAATTTAAGCACCACTAGACTAGAACAGTGAGTATGCGGCGGTAAAGTTTGCACAATTAATAAAAGGGAGAATTCTTTAAATATGGCTAAATGAAGCTTTAATATCACAAATAGAACTACGTAGTATAACTTCTTTTTTAAATGGGACTATTATTCCAATTCTACCTGGCTTTATTTTACTATAATTCATATTTTATGAATGAGTAAAACATAAAAGTAATAACATAACTTTATTCATACTCTATAGTATTAATGAAAAAAATTCAAAACACGAAAATAAATACTATCGTATCAAATAAAATTAATACAATAAAAAAGTATAAAATAATAAATTATAAAATAAAAAACCAAAAAAATTAAAATAAAAAATAAAAAATTAAATAATATAAAAAATATTGGAGAATCGCAATCTTGATGGTAATTTTTGAGAAAATTTTGACATTTTCAAAGAGTAAAAAGCTTTCTTCATGCCATTTCAGACAAAAGATGGTAATTTTTACATATAATGACATTTTTTTTGTCGATCAAGGTAGCATTGCTGGTGGTGGTCGAGGCTGCAGGAAAGACCTCCATTTTTTATTTTCTTAATGTATTTTATCTATTTTTTATTTATTTTTAAAGTTTTTTATTTTTTAAATTATGCTTTATTAGTTTAATATTTTTATAAATATTTTTGATTTTTTTTAATTTTTTTCCTGATTTTTGTATAAAAGATAATATTTTATATAATTTTTTGTTTTTATTATAAATTAAAATCTAATTATCCTATTACGTTATGTTAAGGGTAGAATTGACGGCATAGATCTTGATGGATTATAGGGTATCTAAACATGTACTATTATGAGAGATTGAACACATGAAGAAGAAGATGAATAGTGTATTGTGAATGAATGAATATTGGTTAGTTGAATGAATTAGGGTTTACAAGGGAGGTATAAATAGGAAAATCTGGGTGTAGACCTCTAATATGAGCCTGACAGGCCTGGTTACATAAAATGATTGATAATATAAAAAGCTATTCTAGAATGTTCGATTAATAATAATAGTGTACAATAATGTAAATGAAATCTGGTGAACCTGTGTGGGGCACTGTCCAGACTAAATAGTCGTGAGATCGGAGATCTGAGTCTATATACTCCATCAGTCCTATTTGTACATCTAGAGATTAATTTAGTTCCGTTTAGGGCTATTTTTCCTTAAACAAAATAAATGTAAGAAAGCAACTGAAATTGGCTCTGATACCATGTTTACTTCCATTCTAGTACTTCTCTCGTCCAAACACGCTTAACATCGAAGTTCTGATGAAATTCGGTGCATTAGTGTTGGTATGATCGCATCCTGCTTCAGGTATTGTGAATCAAGTTTGTCAGGTTCTATCTAAATTTGTTCCAGAGAGGCTGTTATACACAAAATGGAAACCTCATTACCTCAAGCACCTCTTGCACTCTCATAGTGAAAGGTTTTATAAAGTCAGAATAAATGAAGGAAATAAAAGAACGGATAAGTAAACGTGATGATTTAAATAGGATTGAGATAGAATTAGATTGAAGAAGCGAAGAAATAATAGCACGTCTTGTCATGAACATATTTGTCTATGTTGTCATGCATATAGTTGCATTTGTAGAAGGTTTCTTGATAAAGCAAACCCAAACCCTGTATAGTTTGTTTGATTGTTACCTGGTTGATCTTGCCACTAGTCTTATGCTTGTCTCAAAGATTAAGCCATGCATGTGTAACTACAAACTAATTAAAACTGTGAAACTACGAGTGGTTCATTAAATAGATGGTGTGGAGTCTACATTGTGTGGATGAGGTCATGGGTTCAATACCACCTAACGTAAAAGTGAATGAGTTATTGATGGTGTGAGATAAATTCTTTAACATGTCCCCTCAACTCGAATCGTGCCGGACAATATTGGATGTATAAATGGATGAGACAAACTTTAACAAACTACCATTAATCATGAGTACTAAAGCAACAGTCAAATTACAACCGGACTTGGCTCTGATATCATGTGAACACTTGGGGTTCCACCTAGTGGCGTATCCGCTATGGGGGCAGCGGGGGCAGCTGCTCCCACTCAACCCTGGCCCAACCGTTTTATATATATATATATATATATATATATATATATATATATATATATAATTTTAAAATAAATTGATCAATATAAGAGTTAAATATAGAGAAAAATCTAAAATAGGATTAAGAGTGTTTTCTAGCATATTAAAAGAATAAAAGGCTAAAAATTCACTAAATTTTGTTATGTTTAACTTATATTTATGTAATTTTCTAAATTTTATCTGTAATTGCATCTTTACACACACACAATATAAATTAATCTTCTTTTTATTCATACTTGTACATATATATCTTAAACTAAATTTAATCAAACAATATTACTAATGCGATTTGTTGTTTGTGAGATATGAGACTAAATTGTAGTGCAAGTTTGCCCCCACTCGCCATATTTCCTGCATGTTTCATCCTAAAAGATCAACCAAATAGAAGTAGCTCAAAAGTCTTATATGATGTTTTATTATTTTATAGATTTCCGATGTGAGACAAATAGTTTAACTGTTGTATCTATGAAAGTTTGAATCACTTGATTTGAAGCATTCAATTAAAAGATATGATTAAAATGGTGAGAGGTGTACATCCTGAAATCCCACAAGCAATATATGACTTTATTGGTTGATTTTGTATTAATACTTTCATATTCTGGTCATGACGTCTTCACATCATTTGTCACTTATTGAGTTATAATTCATATGAAATTCTAATGGCGATTTTCGGAGTTCTCTACAAATGTGATAATCGAATTATGGCCAGAACGTCACTCTTTTGGTCTAAAACGCCTTTCATGATGTTTTATTCTCTAGCTTTCATTCTAAAGGTATTTGACTAATTTCTCTTCTTTTCTTCAACAAATACTTATTACTACCTTCATATCAAATTGTTTTGCAAAGTCAACAGTTTTTTATCAACCAATGTTAAAGGTAAATACTTAGTATTGATAATTAAAAATTACATATTTAGAAACTACATTAAATTCTCTATTAAATGAATAAAATGAATGTTTGACTCAAAAAAGTCGATTTTTGAACTCCATTTGGGACGAATAATATTATTTAGGTACACACAAGTAAATATAACGGCTATCACTATACTAGTTAGTATAAAATGCTTCTTTCACAAAAAAATTAACAAAATTTGAATAAAATAAAGTATGGAGTTAATTTTGGAAATCTGGTGAAAGTTAATCATGAATGAAGGAGTGTTTTATTAGTGATATAGGAAAAAAATAATATAGAGTATGATAACATAAAAACAAAAATGAAAATGAAATACTTGAATCTAATCATGATAAACTAGTAAAGAACACACTGAAGAATAGAAAGAGAACATTAGAATTTAGAACGTATAACGAGTGACTCTGTCAAAGCTCAAATCGGGGTCGGTCAAACTCGTGCTCGAGCCGAGCTCGAGCCGGCTTATTAAGCAGTTGAGCCATAAATGAGCCTACTAATTTAAGGCTTCCTAGTTCGCTTGCCGCGTTAAGCAGTCGAGCCATAAACGAGCCTACTAATTCAAGGCTCGCCAACCCGCTTATATATGTTTGTATATTTATATTTATATATATATAATATATTAATATATATTATATACTACGTATATAATACAAAGTATATACTAGTATATATAATGTATATGATAATATATATATTAATATATAATAATAACAATAACAATAACAACAACAACAATAATAATAATATTAATAATTCTAAAAGGTATAGACCCCAATTGTATTATAAAAATCTCGGTTGATTGAGTTAACTTGATCATCATTATATGTGTAAATTTTAATCTACACAATCTACTGAGGGTAGGAAAATTATCGTATTATGTGAAACGTTATAATATAAACTCATCCACATATACTTTGCTGACCTAAAAGAACAATAAAAAACCTCTCGATGTGTGTAAGAGTGTATACAAAAAACCGTAATCCAAGGTCGGCTAACTAATAAATATTCCATTTTATCCATTTTACAAAAAAATGTGTGCAACTATTCCATTATCAAATTATTCTAATAAATATAACTAAATTGTGACAGTTTTGGTATAGTAATTTAATACGGAGTAACTTATTTTAAAGATAGATTTCTTTAAAATAAATTGCAAAAAACTTGAAAAGTTATAAATAAAAGTTTCAATGTAAACCGCCACATGGTTTTGCCATATTTTTATAACCGGTTATTTTCATAGGGGAGTTTTACGGTGCACCCGTTAATTTGATTGTACCGTATGCGGACCAATAATATTGTAACACATGGAAATAATTAAAATATATATGAATTTTAATGTCCATGTGACATTGTTTTATTTGCCTACGTAAGGAAATGTATCGTACATGCGAAATTTAGAGATGCACCAAAATATAATGCAAAATATAATGAATTTTCCATTTTCATATTATTGCCTCTTATGTGAGGTAACAAATCGATGCTTTTTACACCGGTGGACCATTATCACGAACCAAAATATAATGCAATTAAACAGTAAAACAGTCATTCATACAAACGGCCACACCATGAGATTGATGAAATGATGAAATCTGGTCAAGGGACTATGATTTTACACAGAATACGAACACAAAATCAAACATTTATTGAACCAACAACAAAAGAAACTATAACATCCCCTATTGTAAAATAGCCTTCCAGCAAAAAAACAACACAATCCAAAAGTACATTCTGATCCGTGATGCTTCTGCGGCGTCAGACCTTTCGATCATCTTCACCAAGAATGAATCCTCTCAATCCCTTCTAATTATAATAATGTTCTAAAATTCAATCAAGACACAACAACAGAACATGAAATGTGAGTGAAAGCCATATGTACTAATTAGAACCTCTGGGCCTGGCTGCATTATATACATCTCTACCCCCCCTACTCAAACAAGCAAGAATCATTTTTCCATACATATTACTTTGCATGGATTGTGCATTAATCATGATCAGTTTAACGAGTGCATTTGCGGCTTCTCCCTGCATGCACAGAACAAGAAATATGGGTTATTCATCAGTCTGCTTAAAGATTCTTATGTTCGGACGGATGGCCATTTATAGAGGACGGATGGCCAAACTTTGAAGCCCCGCTATGCCTTTTTTCCATGCTGGTTTCATTTCTTTAATGTTTTAAACACGAGTCTCCACTTTCTTAACAGAAATTGGAGAGACAAATCAAGAATCAAGAGTATGTTTGGCAAACGGCTAAATCTTTCAGAAGGGGAAATTTACGAAGTCAAAAGCTTTATTCCACTCATCCACTCATAAGTGAAATAAACCAGAAAATGGTATCAAACGGATCCTTAAGATGATGACATACATGTAAACAGTAATGTAGGTAGATGAGAATCATCTCCCAACAGGACCAGAGAAGTTGAACTTCTCAAGATGGCCAGCAAGACAAGTTTAGAGGCTTCAAATGGGTTAGGTTGATAACAAACTGACCTTAGCTACTTTCAGTGCCTTTTGAATGACATAGTTCCCGAAAGGATCAATAAGAAGCAATGGAAGATTTGGGCTCGAGATCAACTCTGTAATAATTCTAGTTGACTGCTCGCCTGATTTAAGAAAGAATTTTTCAACAACATTACTAGCATATTTGTTGCATGCTAGAGATGCAAACTTCCCTTGAAGACGTGCAAGTAGATTTTCTTCTACTCCCGGAATGTTTTGTCCAAGCAGATGTTGCACAACATAGTTGCTGCAAGTAGTGAAAGAGATATAAAAAGAAAAGAAAAAAAATGTTATTTTTGTGAATCTACTCCTTATATGTTTGTCATGTGTTACGAGGATCTAGAAACAATGTATAAGAAGCAAACCCGTATGGATTTTCTGATAGCTGATCTGCATATGCTATGATTTCATTCACCAAACACTCCCTTGCTTCTCCGTGTGCATTCTCTATACATGACTGCAACACACAACATCCGCTTCTATTGGTTGCGATTCCAAAGCAGTTCTTTGCTAATTCGTTGATAAGTTTCTGCCATATACAGTTGGCCTTTTGTCAGACTGGAAACAAGCATGCATTTTACAAGTATCTTGTGTGAGAAAACTATAAGGTTGTCCCGTTTCATTCTCATCATACTGATATACAGCATGCTTTCCAACTTTGAAAATGCATTTTAGGTGTTCACATTGAGCAAATAAAGTATTTCTAACGATTATACATTAGTGTAGGAATTTATATCCATTTTATACATGGTTATTCCTATCCCTTCTATTTCTTCACTTCAGCTCATTTGGTTGTGCCAGTTCAATCTACATTAGAAGAAAGACTGTCGAATATAGCCAATAAGTCATAACTATAGATCTGACCAAACATAGCCAGTACCTTGATCAGTTCAATTACAAGTCCGGTTTTTAATACATTGATTGTAAAACTCGGCACTACGTATGAACTCAACTCTACATTTTGAATACAATACTTTGTGTTAGCCATTGCTCTATTTTTAAAAAAATATTGTTCCCCTCAACTCTACATTTTTAATACAGTACTTTGTGTTAGCCATTGTTCTATTTTTTAGATATATTGTTCCCCTAAACTTCTATATCTCCTCAAGTAATGTGGAGGATTCTTATTGAGCTAATGCTAATCATATTTGCCATAACTTTATTACGTGACAGTTGACTCAAAAAACTTAGATGCAAGTTACTAAACTGTTTTGAGATTTTGAGAACTTAGTCCATGATCAATGAAACAAGAAATCAAAAAAGCCTAGAAAAGCATAGTAGAGAGTGGAGACCAATTGGATAATTATTAGAAATTTCAACAGAGCATGACACTGTATACAAGATTTGGCCAATGTTATAGGAAGATCATGAGGATAGTAACTGTAAAAAATTGATGAAAAGTTGGTCATGCAATTATTTAGTGTCAAACTATGAAGCACGGATACTCTCAGGAAAGACTGCGTTTCATTTTCGGAACGTTTTCCCATGATTCTCACAATTCCATGCAACATAGGTGTCAACTATCAAATGATACACTTACATGCTCATAGTATTGTTGGATCTTAACTGCATGTACAGCCAAAATTCAAATCTTTTCACTGTTTTGCATTTTGGCATATATTATAATCACTTGGTTAGGTTGTAAAAATTACGTGTGCGGGTGCCCCGCCAAAACATGCTAAACATTTGATTCGGGTAATCTCTAATGTGAGAAAAGAAACATGCAACTACTCATGGTTTTTAGTTTTCAGTTTACCAAATACGCATATTGGGAATACCTGCCCCCAAAAAAGCCGCATAATGTTAGCGGTAATCTAATTACTCGGGTTTCTTAACGACATAAGTAAAATTACATTCTTTGATGTAAACAACTTGAGGTAGTTTCACATTTCCTAAATCTTACAATTCTATTATCTCAGATAAAGTTAAATATAACACCTCTAAACACTGGGGAAGGAGTATTATGTTTCAGTGTGGTAAAACAACAGTAAAGACTAAAGAGAGCCATTATATATGCTAATGTATGTTTACCTTGGTGTATTCAAAGGAGAATTTTTTCAAGCAGTAAAGAATGACAAGGTGGCCATTGAGGTCACAAGACAATGTAACCGCCCAAGGGCATAAGGCATCCATGACTAAGGATCGCTGCTGCGGGCAACTCAGCTCTTCCAACAATTTCTGCATTGCTCTAGCCCTTCAAACACACCCATACAAATCATTTTATCTCTATGGGAAAAATGTCATATATATTATATTTCCACAATTAATAAGTCAAGAACTTTTCAGCATTAACCATTACCCAAAAGGGTTGGTGCATATGGGGATGAGCTGAGACGGTTTCTTAAATAAAGCAAGAATGATATTTGTTCTTTTCCCTTCACTGCATACTGAGAAAAGCTTCTGGATAAGGTAACTCCCAGATTGATTCTTCATCAGATCACCCACGTGTTCTATAATCTCAGAAAGCACAATCTCTATTCCTTCCTCACCCAACAGAATGAGATTGTCCTGCAATATTCTGCATCCACTTTGATCCTTTGCTAATGAAACTACATTTCCTCTCAGCTCCTCGAGATTCAGCAAAACAAAGTGCTGGCCTCCCTGATTCATTCCTTCCTTCTTGTTCAGATAGGGCTTAACACCGTTCGAAACGCCCCAAATTCGGGGGTTCGAGACCCCCGCGGGGTGGTCATAGCTTTGGTTGGCACGATGCAGGTGGTTATGGAAGGGGATAAATGGTTTCTTAGGAAGCAAGAAAGGGTCATGGTCATCGTGAAACTTTTGACTAGTTCTCGAACTAAAATGCTCCCTTCCACCACCGCCGCCAAACCACATCCACGGCTGGACCGAGGAGGTACTGGCGGCGGCGGAGGTAGACGTAGAGTTTCTGAGCGTCTGGCCGCCATTACAAGCTACAGTCGGCGTCCAGGGTCTGGTCGGGCCCACACTGATATCATGGAGGGCCCCACCGAGGTCCAGGGAAAAGTGGGTTCCAACATCCTGGCTGTGGGCCAGCCTCCTCCTCCTCATCATCATCATCAAACCCTCCACGTCGGCATTGCCGTTTTGCGCGCCCAAACTCATTACAGGGTCGTTCCCGTACCGGATAACAGGGTCCGATCGCAACCCGAAAGCCAGCTCACCTCCATCCGCCATAGTACCCGGCGGGATCCTCGAAGGGTGATGGTGGCGAGGAGGAAGGCGGTAATCCGGCGACGAGAGGCGCAGATTGGAGAGCTGTGATTCGATGCCGAGAATGTCGGGGTTTGGGTAAACCTCCGGCATGATGTTCCGGTGAAGTGAGGGGTTTTGCGGCGATTGAGGAATCGTCCTCTGAAGGTATGGGCTTCTCAGTCCCCACTGACGCTCCATCGCCGTTACAGGAAAAACAATCGCCAGAGGAAAACAAGGTGTTTTGATGAGGTTCAAACTCTAGCAGTAGTCTACTCAAGACTGAAGTTATCTTTTTAAATCAACTTTCCGGGTTTTATTTACGAAGTGGAGTATGTATGAATATACGAAGTATTATATTCAGTTCCAAATTATATTGGAATTTCATTCTTATACTCCGTAGTTTCTTTTTTTATTTCAACTTTTGAGTTTGCCCGGCTTGGCATTAATTTAGGAAATTTTCAGTTGAATTGAAACTTCTTTCATCTAATATTCTAATGGTATGGTTTTGTCTAGTCCGATAAAAGTCTGGTCAATGTGTGTTTTTAAACATCGAAGTGTAGTTTGGTCTTATTCATTAAAATCTAGTCTGATCTGATGTGATCTATTTGCAGAGGTATCCCGATTATGACTTTGATGGATTTTAAAAGATTATGGATTTTGAAATCCGAGGGAAGTCTATAAGATTGTGGTGGATTTTTTTTTTGATATAGAAATTCATTGAAATACATTAAAATACGTGCAAATAAGTAACAACAGAAATCCACAGAATGTTTGAGAACGCCCTTATTTTCATGGATTCCACAGAAATCCAAAATGAGGACACCTGAATTCTGACGGAATTTGAAACTCCATTAAAATTCTCCAGAATCTACTCTATTGGAGACACCCCCTTATTCTAATCTACTCTATTCTAGTCTGATCTGGACTGAAATAATTTCAAATTAATACATCTATATTTACGAGATATGGAGTAACAGATAAATTCGATTTCAATACTGAACTTGATCTCAAAACATCCAAAAAGAATGAAGTGCACGAGTGCAAACTCAAATTTTATTACTACATCAGTCGCTAGATGGATTCGTATATGGTACAGCCGGCTGTACGGTGTCGGCCGTACAGCCGGTGGCAAACTTGTAATTATGGGAAAAATCACGGATCCTCTTAAATGAGCATTAAATCAATTTTGATGAGTATCGAGTCTGTTCTTTTGAGTATTAGGATCCTAACGGTGAGCATTAGTGATATTTGCTTCATTCCTCATATATCACATTCTGTTTATTATTTTTTCGTTTATTAAAGTCTTAAATTATGTTTATAATCAATTTCATTTTCAATGTGTGAATCTAATTGATTATGATATGTTTAACATGTGCAATCTTTTAAAATGAGCATAAAACAGTACCAAATGAGCATACATAACTTACAAAATTAGTATCAAAATATTAAAAACTCATTTGTGTGTGCTCATTCATTTTGAAAGTTATACTTATTTGAGATCAATAGCAACAATGATTCCTTACCAACGAATTAGACTCTTGTTGTATTATTATACTTTTGAAATATGCATGAATATGAAATTTTAAAACGAGTATTGCACTAATATCAAATGAGTATACATAAATTACGAAATGAGTATTCAAAAAAAAAATTAAAAAAAAACTCATTTAAAATGTGTACTATGCTCAGAATTTCTTTTGTGTATGCGCATATCTGTACAAATATGTATAACTTGGGATTCTCCTAAGTGGCAACCAAACAAGTTACCAAACTATCAAACCTAAAAAGGAAAAAAGGAAGAGTTCAAAAAAAGAACGAGTCCAACTAGCCCTATACATCTCATCAGAGCCGCCATCTACCCAAGTTGGAGTCCAGAGTCTGAGGTGCTGCGAGTTCGGCAAGTCATTTTTGAATGATGGCAGGCAAAGAGCTTCTGGCGAAGAGGGGAGTGCGAGCGAAGTAAGAGTTTCTGGCGAAGAGGGGAGTGCGAGCGAAGTGCGAACGATCAAAGTGCGAACATCAATCTGCGATGGAAGCTTGCGCTGGATCTGCGAACTAAAATGCCGGTTGATTAAAGCGTAAATAAAAGAATAAATTAAAAATGAATTGATACAATACAAATGGTATTAAATGTTGCATGTGACAAGACCTATGAAAAATGAAAAATAGAGCAAAAACAAAAAAGTATATATTACAAAGTCAATACCAATTTTTTGGGCTCATGAATTAAGAATATATTAAAAACCCTAAGTTATCACCATTTTTCTTGAGCAGCAAAAAATGAGTAAATTATAAAAGTAATTAAAAGAAAGAGTAAGGTATGAGTTTTCAAAAAAATGTGTTGTACAATTAAAAACGAAGTACTTCTTGTACTCCCTCCGTCCCCCTAATATGGGTACGGAAGGGAGTGGTGTGGTTTTTAAGAAAAGTAGAATTCTGTGGTTGATAATGAATTGATAAAATGGGAATAAAGTAAGAATGAATTAGAGCCACACAAATGTTACCAAATATGGTATGTGACAATAATAGTGGGACATCCAAAAATGAAAAAATGTGACAATTATAGGGGGCGGAGGGAGTACCAGACAACTTTTACTCCGTGTTTTTCAACGGAGGGAGTAATTGAATTTTCGAAAGGTTAAAAGTAATTGGTCATTTATTATACTACAATTATTATATTATCTGCTCAAATTAATACGGAGTATCAAATTCTTTAATTGAAATGTTAACGTGTGACCTTCAATCAACAGTGTTGTAATGAGATCATAAAATATTTGACGATTTATTATTACCAATAACATGTAATTTATGAAACTCAAAATGATGTAGCATGCACAATTTGAATATGAGTTTTTTAAATTCAATTCTTTTCTTGGTGACAATTTATCTCTTAATAAGGGTTTAATTGTAAAATATCAAATTGTTTACAACTTCTTATTATTTTGATAAATTTAAACAATGCAACCTTCACACTACGTAAAAGAAACTGTGGATCCTTTATGTGTTGTTAGCTATTTTACTTATTCATATTATTAGCAATTCAGCCATTTTATGTAAATTTAATGATTGCAATTTAGATCAATTTATATCAGTTGTGGAGGGGGTTTGCCCTCCAAAAATCGTATTTATTATATTTATTACAGTAATATAATTGGCGGTGGCAGATTGAGAAGAAAAAATTATTAAAGGCATAAATCAATTCACAGATCAATGTAATGTTGTTAATAAGAGAATCACAATTTGAGATAGATATATCAATGGTCAACTATTTATATTTGAATTACTTTTATAGTTTGATAGACCATAAATAGTATATGTACACAAAAAACAAAAAGAATATGTTTATATGTGCACACACCCAAAAAGAGGTTCAAACCACTAATTCCAACGGTATATAATTAAACTCATAAATTAAACATGATAACTTGAATTTAATTAATGCAATTTGACATTTTAAAATTTAAATACAAGGGTTATCATAATCAATTCACTAAATAACTAACAAATAACTTTATTTAACCTTATCAATTTTCAAGATTTTAGTACTAATAATCAATAATATGAACATAAAAGGTCTAAGTTGTCAAGTACTACTCCGTTCCAAAATAACTTCTGACATTTAATTAAGGGAAAATCTCACTTTAAGTCCTTCAAATAGTATCCTCTTTTTGAAATGTAATCACCATGGTTAGAGTTATAAATTTAGAAATAGTAAAAAATGTAATTATTTTAAAAATTGCACCAATAGTTTCATCCCTAAAGTTACATCAGAGGTAAAAATGTTGATTAAAAAAATTCAATTTTCTAGACAACAAATGTTCAATACAGGCAAAATATGTTTCCATAATAACTGAAAAATTTTATAGTCGGAGTGTCTTTTTTTGTACGCATTGTCAAAAATTTCATTTCACTAGCAAAAAATGTACTGTTGTTCAAAATTTTTGTACAACACAAACAAAAATTATTGTTTAGAGTAATCAAAATTTTCATACCATAAAAGTCTGGCGTAGATACAAAATGTTTTCAAAAATTTAAAAAGTTTATACTTTTTGTACACATTTTAAAATTCTTTTGCACTAACAATTTTTACCTATATAATGTATACAAAAAGTACAATTTTTTAACTTGTTTGAAAACATTGTTTTATGTATGATAGGCGTCTATAGTTTTTAAAATTGGACTTTAATTTCTCGACTGACATTTATTTTAATTTCCGTGTCCTACTTTTACTGAAAATGTATACCAAAATGATACAATTATTTTGGTCATTTCAATAACATTTTTTGTCTATGTCACACATTTATTGCCTATAACATTAATTAGATTTTTATCAACAATTTTTAACCTTCGTGCAACTTTAGAGGTAAAAGTTTTGGTGTGATTTAAAAAAAAAAATATTATGAATACTACGTAGTATTTTATTGTGAGTAAGGTTATAATCCTAACTGTGTCAAAAAGTATAAAAGTTAAAGGCATTAGTTCAAATTTGACGGCGAGGACCACATTTACGATAATCTAGACAATTGAGGGGTAACATATATAAACTCAAAAATACGGACGGGGACTACATTTCAATATGGTGCTATTTGAGTGACTAAAAGTGAAAGTGTATGAGTATATTAATGTAGAAAAAATAATTATTATTAACTACAAAAATTATTCCAAGAAAATGAAACTAAAAGAGAATAGAAATGAGGAGAAATTTGTGACACCCAAAAAGGAAAATTGGAAGAAAATAATGAGATGGAGGGACTATTTTTCTCATCTTCATAACTAAAAAATTCAAAGTGCGTTTTTAGTATTGTTCAATATTACTTTTTACGTATTAACAATTGATTAATTAATATAAAAAATTGCATTTAATTTAAATGATTACACTATATATTGTGTATTGATTTAATTTAAGAACAATGCATATATATGATTCTTTCTTGTAATAAAAGATTATCGTTGTCAGTAAAAAAATTCATTGGGGCGACCTACTATCATTTTCATCGGGGGAACTATTATTTTTAGGTGACAGTTCCGGTACCTTTCTAAAAAATGGGGTACCGTACCTATCATTCATTTGATTGGACCACATCACTTTATCATTTTTAATTTAGATTTAAAAAATTCAACTGCTACATTCTCATTGGTCCATGTGGATAAATGTATGTCATCTTATGGGTACCATAGAATCTACATTATTTTTATAATGAATTACCTGATTATATATGAATATATGGGAAGTTTATTGGGGGCATTTGCCCCACTATTAAACAATACATCCGTCCCTTTTGCCAAAAAAAAATACATACTTCCCTAT